GGGGGCCTCCAGAGCCGTTGATTTCGGGGTCCCGTGCCTTCACGCTGCACACTTAATTTTACAAGCTTTTCCCTAGGTGGTGGGTGCATCTGCTTTTTTTTTTTTCTTTAAACAAAGAACCTACTTGTTGCTTTCTTTCTGGTTATTAAAGTGGCACGTGCCAGCCTTCTCGATTCAGAGAAAACCTGAGGGTATAAATAGGAAAGTGAAAGCCACCGGAAACCCCAGCCCCCGCCCCAGCACCTGGCGGCTTGTGGGCGTCACAATTGACTGTTTCTGGAGACGCAGCTATCTCTGTTCGCATCCTGTTGAATACATTTTCTGATATCATTTTCCTACAAAAGGTATTAATTTAAAAAGACACCAAGGGTTTTTTGAGCCCCCGCGGCAAGGGAGGCATGACCTCACCCGCCGCTCACAGCAGCAGCAGAGGCCACGGGTGGGACTTGCCCATGACTCCTACCCATCCCTCCCCCCATGGCCTTACACCCCCTTTTTCGAAGCAAGGCTCTGCCTCGTCCCGCCTCCGTTTGAACCTGCCTCTGCCCGCGGAGCGGTGTGGCCATGGCAGGTGGGTGACCACTCTGGCCTCAGTTTCTCCCCATCACACGCAGAGAAGAGACGTCCCTGCAGCCACAGTGGGGGGCGAGGACAGAGGCCACGAGGGGCGAAGGCCGGGCGGGGCCGGTGCTCTTGTGATGAACGGCCCGAGGCACCTGACGGCACAGGCCCTGCCAGGCTCCCTCAGAACCCCACCCTTTCCCACTGCTCTGCAGGCAGCTGGCCCGGGAGAGGGGGGCTTGGCTGGAGGCCAGCTCCCTGGTCCCTGCTGCCCCCTCGTGGCCCACTCTGGCCCCAGTGGTTCCAGTAGCTCCAGGTCCAGGTCCAGTCCCATGGCCGGTGCCAAGCCCAGAAAGCTAGTCCTGGGAGATCCCCCGCCCCTTCCACCCCTCCAGCACCCGGTGGAAGGGCTTAGCTGACATACATTGGGAACTCCCTGTGCTCTAAGGACCCGCTGTGTGAGGGGGGGCCGTCATGGAACCTCTCTGTGCTTGCTTCCTCATCTGTAAAAAAGGAATAATAATAGTGCCGACATGGTTAGAATTAAACATGTTAATACACGTAAGGCTCACGATAGCGCCTGTCCAAGTGTTTGCTGGGCTTCTTCTCATTCTACTGAGCTGGTCTGTGGGTGTTGTGGAGTCGAGGGCATACACATAAAGGAAATGACATTCTACAGTTCACGTTGCTGTATTGCAGAAAGGACAGGCTGGGGCGATGGAAACCCCAGACAAGTGGTCCCGAGGCATCATCCACCCACCCGTGTTTGTGTCTGTCCACGTGACTCCCAGACCTCATCCGTGTGCAGAGCCAGTGACTGTGCGTGCACAGAGGTTCTATCCTGCGCTTCTCACCACGTGGCCACATGCGTTATATACACCCCCCCACCCCCCACACCGCCCCCGTTTTCCTCTCGCCTCTCAGGTTCTACCATACGCCACCTTAGAGGATCTCGCCCAGACTCTGCTGTCCTCCTTACGGACAGGTGGCCGAGCTTCCCACAGGTCTTTCCAGAGGAGAGCGAGACAAGAGAGGTCCAGAGAGAGAGACTGAAGCCAGACTTCTGATCCCGGCTGCAGGCTGATACCTGACTCCGGCCACAGAATGGCCTCTGACTCAAGCCATAGACGGATTCGTGACCCACACTGTGGGCTTATTTGTGATCATGGCTGTAGATTGGCCCAGGCCCAGGCTGACCCCTGGCCCCAGCCTAACCTTTGACTCTAGTCGTGGACCGATCTCAGAGTCTGGCCACCGGCGCCCTCACTGACGCCCCACCCCATCCAGGAACTGGCATTTCCTGATTTGCAGCTGGTAAGCTCAGCTTGAGTTGGTCAGCAGATCTGGTCTGTCTGTCCGGCCTCTCCACCATGGGACCACAGGGCAAGCGGACAGTTCTCTTTTTTAAGCGAAGAGAGCAGCATTAGAAGGCCCCTCTGCAAACTTCCTCCTGCCCAGGATGTGAGGTCTGGTGCTTTGGCAGCTGTCCTGTGACCACGAGGGGAAGCGGGTGGGGATGAGAGACAGTGCTCCGAACCTGGCACAGGGGGAGCGGAAAAGAGCCTGCGTCCCTGATCGCTTCATCACGCGATCAAACCAACCTTGGGATCCTTAAATAAACCATGAACCTGCTTTTTTTGGTTTGTTTTGTTGAAACTACTGTGGTAGTGCTTTTGCAGCCATAAAGCAACCTTAAAGATCATGGCCGGTGGATTAACGGGGCCTCCAAAGATATGCCCGTCCCAATCCCCAGAAGCTGTGAACACGTGGAATCAAGATTGCTAATCGGCTGACCTGGGGAGGTTATCTGGACGGGCCCCATGCAGTCACGAGGGCGCTTACAAGAAAGAGGGAGGCAGGAGAGTTTGCGTCCGAGAGAGACTGCACATCTACGCTGCTGCCTGGGAAGACGGGAGACAAGCACGAGCCACGGAAGCTGAAATAGTCAGGGGACAGGTTCTGTCTTCGAGTCTCCGGAAGGAATGCGGTCCGGGGGACACCTTGGTTTTTAGCTCAGTGAGACCAAGTTCCGACCTCTTGCCCCTAGGGTTGTAAGATAGTACATTTTCGTGTTTCAAGCCACTGAATTCGCAGCAATCTGTTACAGCAGCAATGGGGAGCATTCCTCCGTGCAGCTGACTTTGGAGTCTAGACGCTCCAGCCTGGTTTTCCTCCAGCCTTGTCCCTACACCCTCTCCTGCTCCCTCACCCTTGGCCCTCAGTCGCCACTTCCAGAGGATTCTGTTGAATGTCCTCCAGTCCTACCTCCTCGGCATCCACCGTCCCTTAGCGTGAACGTGGGGCTCGCGGCTTCACGGGCGGCCCCGGTGCAGCAGCGCAGTGGCGGGTGGACACTGAAGCTCCCAGGCCCCGAAGCTCCCAGACCTCTGACCTGAAATTCTTCATGATCTTACCTGTGCATCTGTGTTTGTCAGGAAAGTCCCACTGGACGTGGAGTGCGCAGCCAGGATTCGCAGTTTCGGCTCCCACGTGGCCCCACCTCCACCACCCGCCTGCTTCCCCGGACAGGTTCCTGGCCGCCTGCTCTTCCACCCCTTGGCACTCTGGACACCAGTCCACCTCCCCCTGCCACCCCTGTCCAGCAGCCACACTGCCTTCGACCGGGAGGGCGTCCAGGCTCAGGCACAGGGAGGGTCGACGTCACTGCTCACCTCCCGAGCTGCACGGTGGCTGGTGCCATCCTGCCGCGGGGTGTCTGCTGGGCGGCTAGAGGCCACAATTCAGCCAAGTCAGCAAGCCAAACCTGCTGCCCACCCCCGATATGGCAACAGGAGTCACCATCTTGGATTCTTAGTGCCTTTTGAACAAAAAGGCCTGCATTTTTATTTTGCATCGAGCACCTCAGATTATATAGCCATTCTTGCCATAGGGCCATCCTTCTCCACAAAGTTGACCTGCCCCTCCCTCTGGACCCCAAGCACCGTCACCCCTGTGTTTCGGCTTCGTCCTTCTGCAGGCTTCTTCCCATCACTGTGATCATCTGTCAAGTCCTTCCATCTGCAAACAACCAAAGGTTCCCTCCCCCACACTTCCTTCTTCCCTCCCTCCCTCCCGCTCCCTCTCTCTGCCCAGACAGTTCTCGAAAGCCGTCTCCCTGTCCCCACTTCCTCCCTGCACACCCACTCCTCAGCCCTCTGTGCAGAAGCTGCCGTCACTTCTGCCATGAAACTGCTGTCACCGCCGCCACCGCCAGTGCAGGCAGGTCTGCTTCAGTCCTATCTTCCCGCAGCACGACCTCCCCCTCGTCCCTGAACCTCTGCCCCTCGTGCTGCTGCTGCTGCAGAGTGTGCTCCTGCTCAGACTCACCTCCCAGGGTCTCTCCTCGGCCTTCCCTAAACATCGGGGGCCTCAGGGTTCATCTTGGGCCTCACACATGCACACACACGCACGCACACGCGCACACACATGCACGCTCACGCGCACACACATGCACACGCTCCATGGGCAACTCATCTGTTTCCATAAGGTTAGCTACAACCTTTACTGAAACTATTGGAGTTTCATGGGGCAGGACTGCGTCACCCAGCTCCCAGCACGGCGGCTGGCACAGAGTGTGCTCAATAATCACTTGTTGAATGAGTGAATGGTGTCTTCTAAATAGATCTGCTAGCCCAGATCTCTGGCCTGAACTCATATATCCATCTGTGTCCACATCTCCCACCCAGACATTTCATGTCCCATCTGTGCACATCATGTCCAATGTGACATATGTGATGAGATAGTGTGTATTTTATTAAGTCCTTTCTTTCATATCAGGTCTCTCCCCTCACTGCCCCCCCCCCCCCCCCCCCCCCCCCCCCGTCAGCACACGTCATAGTGACCGGTTCCTTGGGCACAGAGGTCTTTGGTTGGTTGGCTCAGTGCTGTATCCCAGGGCCTTAGAACAGTGTGTGGCACACAGTAGGTGCTCAATAAATACTTTCTGAGCAAATCAATTGATCTCCACACGGATGGCCCACATCTCAGCCCCAGTATACCCGGAACTGAGCCCTCCACGTCCGCCCACACCTCCTCCTCCAGGCCCTGGTCTCACTTGTTAAGCCTGCAGAGCAGGCATTTCCCAGTCTGCCCGCCTCCTCCCCGCCCCAAGGAGATTCAGGTGCCAGAGTCTTCCTCCCCTCCAGCAACTCTGTTTGCACAAGCCAGCCTCCTCATCTTATCACCTAGATTCTGCCAATAGCGTCTTTCTTCTCAACATTCCCCCCACCAGGACCAGAGCTATTTTTTCAATCGCGTTATTCCGGCTCACACAGCCTCCTGGCTCCCGTTAGCCAAGTGTGGGGCACAGGCCCCTGGGGTGACCCAGGTGAGGGACACCCCCCTGAGGTCACTTTAGGTGGCATATGGGTGTGGTGTCTAAGGCATTAAACCGAGAAAGTGATTCCCTTTTCAATTCTCCTTCTCTCCTTCTGACTAGCCTTCCCCAGGCCACACCACGTGGAGCCAGAGCGTAATAACTCACTTTTGGTTTTGTTGTTTTACAGTTCCCTTCTACTTATGATGAAGAATACTGGTTGTCCATTCGTGACGATAGCAATGTTGCTTTTTAAAATACAGTTATTGAAATAAAATAAGTAAGTCAGTATGAAGAAAAGGTTGAAGGGAATAATGACGGAGAAAATATAAATATGGAAGAAATAACCGTGGTAGTGCACACGAGGGACGCAAGTTTGGGAGACACCGTCTACAGACCAGAGTCCACACCCTTTGCTTCCTGGCTCCTGGCTCCCTCCCTGCTCATTCTTCAGCCCATATCACTCCCTGACCCCATGACCTATTACCTCTAGTCACTGTGACCTGTCACCCCTACACACCAGGACCTGTTGTTACTGACCCAGAGTCCGTGTGCCTGATTCTTTGAAAGGCCAGAACTTAAATGTCAGTTTGGCTTTGGCCGGTGTGGCTCAGTTGGTTGGGCCTTGTCCCATGCACCGAAAGGTTGCTGGTTGATTCCTGGTCAGGGCACATGCCCAGGTTGCCAGTTTGATCCCTGGTCGGGGTGCATACAAGAGGCAACTGATTGATGTTACTCTCTCACATTAATGTTTCTCTCTCTCTCTCTTCCCTTCCTCTCTCTCTCAACGCAATGAAAACATTGAAAAAAAAAAAGTCAGCTTGAAGTAAGGAAAGGCTTATTGATCAAGAAGGCCCCAGTCGAGAAGATGAGAGACCTAATCCTCAAATTCATCTTGCTGGACTAGGTTAAGGGTGTTTCAGGGGCTGGGGGAACAGGTATGCAGAAGTGCTAGTGGAGTGAGTTTTATTCTTTTTTAAAAATATTTTTATTGATTTTAAAGAGAGGAAGGGAGAGGGATAGAGAGATAGAAACATCGATGAGAAAGAAACTTTGATCGGCTGCCTCCTTTGGTTCTGGTGTGTGTGTGTGTGTGTGTGTGTGTGTGTGAGAGAGAGAGAGAGAGAGAGAAGAGAGAGAGAGAGAGAGAGAGAGGGGGTGGGAGAGACTTTGATTCCGTGTGCAGCTGGAGGTCAAAGTTCTCTCCTCTGTGCACACTTTAGCTGCGTGACTTGTAGTTTTGGTCTGTTGTTTCTGAAAAGCAGCACACTATTTTGTTAAGAAGAATAGAGCCATTTTGAGTGGATTCTGTGATTACACTCTCACCCCTAGAATCCATTACCGAGGTACCCTAGGCACCATGACTTGGCCACCCCTAGGCACTGTGACCTGTCACTCCTAGACACATGACCTAGGCACTCCTAGACCCCATGATCTGCACACCCCTAGAATCCTTGACCTGGTGTGATATTGTCACCAGCCCTGGCTGGTGTTGCTCAGTGATTAGAGCATTAGCCTGTGCATTGAAGGGTTAAGGGTTCGATTCCCAGTCAAGGGCACATACCTGGGTTACAGGTTCAATCCCCACCCCAGTCGGGGTATGTATGAGAGGCAACCAATCGATGTTTCTCTCTCACATGGATGGATGTCCCCTGCCTCCCCTCTTTAAAAAAAGAATATATATTTGGTTTTTGCCCCTGTTGCTGGGGCAGAGCTCCTAAAACTCTTGGAATTTCCTAAGTGATGAGAACCTTCAGTGTCTTTGGTATTTTAATGAGGTGACCTTTGGGAAGCCCCTAAGTCACCTAGGGATGAGGGCTGGTTGCCGAGGGAACCAACCATGTGATTAGAGGGAAATGGTCCATCTTACCCCTCAAACTCTTGGTGGGGGGGTGGCTGAAGATTGATTTAATGCCAATGATTTAATCAGCCATGCCTGCATAACAGAGCTTCTATAGAAACCAAAACTACAGGGTTGGGGGACTTTCGGGTGGTGAACAGGTGGAGAAGCTGGGAGACTGGCAAGTCTGGTGAGGGCATGGGCGCCCTGAGTCTGCCCACAGTGTGTCCTGTGCATCTCTTCACCAGGCTGCTCCTGAGCAATGTCCTTTCATAACCAGCCAGAGAGCTAGTAAATGAGTGTGCTCTGAGTCTGTGAGCTGCTCCAGTGAATTAGTTTAACCTCCAAAGGGGGTCGTTGGAAGCTTCCTTCAGAAGCACAGATGACAGCCTGGATTGCCATTGGACTTGCAACCGGTGCCTGAAGTGTAGGGGAGGAGACTTGAAGGACTGAGCCCTCAACCGGTGGGATCTGACCC